TTGACATGCTTGATCTACATCCTGGAAAGGTGTGTCTTCTCATCAATAATGACAGCTTCAAATGCAGAAGACAACTGACATTTTATAACAGCATGTGGGAAATGTGTTCCTTATCATGAGTTCTGCTTTCCATGAAATGGTGTGGAATACATGAGCTTCTTCATTGTACAAAGAAATTTGCTATAACAATTTTCAACCATCGTGACATTTCACTTTGATTATGCATTTACAGCATGTTAGCCAGAAGTTTGAGGAAACCCAAATATGAACATCTATAATCAAGTCAACAGGAATTATTCTGGAATAATTAATTATAATTATCATAATTAAAAACTACCATTCAATCCCACCAAGTTCTGTTTATGAATTAACTGAGAATTTTCCCATTTAAATGAATACAGCCATCTTTCAATGCGTGACCTATGGGGAAGTAATCCTTCTCTGGCTCAGTAGCTCCAAATGGGCCCCTATCAGACCCCCAAAATAATTAATTCTACCACAGTGTATGGATAACAACGTGTTGTTGTTTTTTTAATCTTTAAAAGCAACATGTCTCTGCAAGGAAAACAACAGCTTGCTCTGCACTTAGACAATAATCAAAGGAAAAGGCCTCCTGTCATCTGAGCCAGGCAGCCTGGCACTGGCTGCTGATGGCAGGTGGGTCTATAGGATCATGCCACAGGGTGACAGTCACTCTGGGACAGCTGAGGGAAGGCCCCCCAGGACCATCATCAAGGAGAAGACATACAGTGGGGTGGCAAAGCAGCACGCCTTAACCCAGAGAAATGCCTTGATGGGGGGAAATGATTCTTAAAAATAGATGGTTATTATGTCAGGCCGATTATTGGCTAGCAGGGCCAATCCCAAATGGAAAAGAGCTTTCCCCATAGATGTGGTTCTAAATGAATTCCAGCAGGAGGCATGAAAGGGATGAAATGGTGCCAGCGTAGGGCATTATCAGTGTGACCTGGTTCCAAAGGTTCCTCTGGCTCCCCTTCATGGAATCCAAAGTGTCAGCAAAACATTCTGTTCCTCTGAGTGGAGGTAGCAACAGATCAAAACTCCGTGTCTCTTATGGGTCTGCACAACAGCGAAAGCAAGTGGTGTCTAATCCCAATAGCTACAATGCAGCCTGTCCATATAAAATTTTCTCTGGTTGCCCTTTTGTTTTTATCTTCACCTGAGGATATGTTTTACTGATATGAGAGAGAGAGAGAGAGAGAGAGAGAGAGAGAGAGAGAGAGAGAGAGAGAGAGAGAGAGAGAGAGAGAGAGAGAGAGAGAGAGAGAGAGAGAGAGAGAGAGAGAGAGAGAGAGAGAGAGAGAGAGAGAGAGAGAGAGAGAGAGAGAGAGAGAGAGAGAGAAGAAGAAGAAGAAGAAGAAGGAGGAAGAGGAGGAGGAGGAGGAGGAGAGGAGGAGGGACACACACACACATTTAATAAATAGAAAATATTTATTATACAGCATTGTCAAGATTATTTGACAAAAGGCAATAACAAGCCAAACTAAAACACATTTACAAGAAGCTAAACAGCGTGTATAAGCACATACATTAAGGGGAAGAGTTTCTGCTCTTTGGGTATCAGGTATGCATGTGTCCATTTCCAATTTTGAACAATTATAATATAAGACCTAATATTCTATTGTATTGAGGAAAACTTTTAATCATAATAGGAGGCATTCAGAGTAATTATGTGACCAATGTTGAATGTGTTCACCAAATGTCTCAAAAAACCTCAGAACAAGCTTACATCTTATAGTATTTTAATAGCAGAAGCAGTTTTCCTGGTCTATTCTTAAAAAAAAATCTGAGTGCACATATGAAGAACATGGGTTAATGGCCTTATGATAAAAAACTTGCTTCACTAATATTAAATAGTATACATTCCCTTGCTGGTTTGCCAATTAGTAGACCACCTAATAAGCATAGGGACCATCCATATTTCTCATTCTGCTTCATTACAATGAAAATATGGAACTGAAACCCATGTTTTAATCATAAGGTCTTTCTATCAAAGGTGTTATAAATGTTAAAGGTGTTATACTTTTTAAAAAAGAAATACAATCCATCCTTGATGTGGAACTGACTAGACTTGGCAGTAGAATATGGGGGAGGCAGGAGAAACATGAGCCTCGGCCACTGGAGTTGATGTTAAACTCTGAGCAAATGATGCAGCATGGATTTAAAGAGTCTAAGATGAGTTTTGACTGAGAAATCACAAGCTTCAACATGAAAGAAGCGTATTACAATATGACTGAACATAAGGCATGAACAAAGATGTTTAAGGGGGAAAGATTCATTTCATAAATAATAGAAATCAAAAGCAGCAAGTAAACCTCTTTATTTGGGCTGAAAAGGGGAAGGCAAAAATAAAACAACTGGCTTGCACATACATGGATATTACACACAGCAAATAACAAAAACCTAAAGAAAAGAATGGCCGTGGAAATATAGGAACAAGAATACATGGAAATAAAAATTAAAAGAAAGCAAAAGGTGGTAAATAATTTAAGAAATTATGATCAGTCTTAGAAGTTATTGTATGCTTTAAGCACATCAAGCTCAAGTAGCTGTGGAAAAGCTTTTAAAAAACCACCCTAGAGTAACCTGAAATCATCTAAATACTGTCATTTCAAGCTTATGTTTTAACTAGATGCCCAGTGCTCGAATTTGTGCACCAGCGGGGTCCCTGGGCCTGGCCTGTGGGATCGGGCTGATGTGTGCAAGTTTATAAAACATACCTTTTTATTTTTACCCACAGTTCTTGTGAACTTTCACTGTAACAGATTTTCAAACCACTTCATTAATAACATTTCCAGATCATAAAATACCTGAAAAATAAGTGTCCTCTTAGAAGAGGAAGGACCGTCTGAGCAGCATATGAAAAACATTGGACCACAGCACTCAAACCTTCAAATAGTTCCTGTAGATATGAGGATGGTCTATAAAACATGATTGGAACATAAAAATATCTATATCATATCGGAAAGGCAATCTTCTAGTTGCAGGTAGATGGACATTACATTGCACAAATTTTATTATCACATGTATACAAGAACACGTTCACTCGCTAGTTACAGGGACTTCTGTGACAATAGGAAAGAATTATTCATCATTAAACATTTAATTTGCCAGTAGTAGTTGCTATGAGTACACCGTTAAATTCAGAGATGGATTTGTTTCTGTACTTAATGGGAGAAACATTGGCACCAAATACACGTACTGCATCTTAGAAGTTCGACTGGTTAAGTATTATTTGCTACGGTAAATGGAAGGTAACAATTTTGCCACATGGTTTGTTCTCTGTAACTGAAGGGCAAAAGAGAGCCCTCCTGGCACTAACACAAGTTAATCCACAAAAGGTCTTCAGCCACTCTTGACACAATCTCTCGTTCTGGCCTTTCCCCCACTCATCAGTCAGCGAGTATCAGACATGGGAAGCTGAATGTGCTGATTTTGTTCAAAGCTCCATGCTTATGTATCTATTGTCTAGTTTCTCGTTGCACCCTTCCCTAGCTCTACTGATGAAGCACTTTTTGGTGATAATTTTGCTCTTATTTCTGTTGTTCCGAACACAGCGGCAGGACGCCCATGCACCTTTCTCTAAGTGTGACAGCAGGCTGCACTGTGTCAGGTGCAGTGGGAGAAGAGAGGCCCCTAACCCGGCCAGTTCCGGGGTCTCCTGAAGACCAGGGGTCTGTGCTCCCACCCTCGGTTCCCTGCGGGGGTTCCTGCTTGCCCCTCCCTCACCCCCCTGCTCTGTCTGGCTCCACCAGGCTCCCCAGGAACACCATGAGGGGAGCTCATGATTCAACCCGATGGTCCTCACCTTCTGCACCTTTCCAAACTGGCCACGCGTGTGTGTGGGCATGCAATTCTATGCACAATTGTCCAAAAAAAAGGGAGATTGTTTTTGTCGATTTTATTTTGATTGATTTTTGTGATAAAAGTTACATACTATATCGGGATTGTGCTTTGTCAGAGTTCCCTTTCTTCCCAGGGAAGACTTTGAATAATTCAAGAATCGGAATTTTCCCCCTCTGACCTCCCTCCGGGGAGCAGCAGCCTTCTCTTCCCTCCTGAGCTCGCCCTCCACTCCCAGGCGCTCCCCAGCTTTCTGCACACCCTCCCAGGCGCTGGTGCTCGCCGACTTCTCCTGCTCTTCCATGTGGACACCTCCTCCCCTACAGGGTGGAAGAGCTTTGCTTGTAGTCCCTCAGAATGACCGAGGCGTAGGTCACGTTGGGAGGGGTGCAGAGCACGGACTCGGACACCGGGGAGCTGGGCGCCGAGCTGCCCGACGCCACGGAGTCGCGGAAAGGCGACGGGGGCGTCAGGGAGGGGGAAGCCTCAGGGGTGGGTTTGCGGGCCGCCTGCGGGCCCTCCTCCTCCTCTTCCAGCTCGTCTTCCTCCGTGGTCCCTTCCCGCTCGTACAAGTACTCCTGGAGCAGCTGAAACCTCTCGCTGTCGTCCTCGTCCTCGGCCGCGGGGGAGGCGGGCTCGTCCCCCGACGTGCT